TTTATTTTGCCAATATTAAAAGGTAATTTAATAGAGGAAAAACATTCTCTTTAATAATTAGTGATGGAATTTGATGTCCACATAAAGTAAGAATAAGCTTCTCCCCCTACCTCATTATTACATACAAGTTACCTCAACCTAAGCTGGATGGTTCACATGCCTATAATCCCAGTGACTGGGAAGCAGTGCCAGATAATCAGAAGTTTGAGGCCAGTCCGGGCAACGTAGTCTCTTTCTCAAAATAAAGGATGAAGGGTATAAGCCCAAAGGTGGAATGCCACTGGGTTTCATCCGCAGGACCCCACACACAAAATAGAATGAGACCTTTTAATAAAAAAACTAAAACTATGAACAATTAAGAGAAAACTTTACAATTTAAGGATAAGCAAAGATTTCTTAGAATCTTCATAAAAAAAATAAACTAATGAATTAGATTTTGTCAAAATTAAAAATTTACATTCATCAGTACTTCTAAGAAAAATCTGAGAAATTGTTTACAAAATACTTGAATTATGTAAGATAGCTAATAATAATAAGACAACCCAATTTTTACAATGAACAGATTCGAATAGATGCTTCTCCAAAGATACATGAATGCCTAGTAAGAACTTGAAAAATTATAACATCATCAGTTATCAAAGGAATATAAAATTAAAACTGCAGTAAGTTTTCACTCATCAAAATAGCTCAAATTAAAATCATTAACAATAGCTAATGATTGACAATTAGTGACTGAGAAGGAACTGGAACAACTGGGACTCTTCTCTGCTGGTTGTAATACAAAGCAGCTGCTTTGTGTCACATTTGTCAATTTCTTATGAAATGATATATATACAGTTTACTATATGACCCAATAATTTCATTCTCTCTAAGGTATTATCTTTGTACTTGAAGTACAAAGAAAAAAAGGCTTTTGTTTTGTCTGCCTTAATTTTCTTAACAAATTGTCTAGTCTAGCTTTAAACCTCTTTTGTATATAAGTTGAGTTGAGTCCTTTCAAGAGATGTCTGTGAGTAGTCTTGGCTTATTTTGTTTTTAGATCTTAGATTCTTTGAGATGGCGGGACCGGTTTTGGACTGTGGCTGACACGGTAAAAGTGGATGCTCCGGGTCTGGCTTTGCTTGCTCTCCATTGGCACTGGGTTTTAAAACATTTAGTCCATCAAATCCCCCAACGCCTGATGAATCATGAAGACAAGTAAGACTCATATTTAGGGAATAATATGTGTAAAGATAAGAGGGTTTAGAATTAAAACTGCTATTTCTTATTTAATTTTGGTTTATTCTGTTGGCATACTGTAGAAAATATTGAATGTAAATGACTTCTTTTTCTATCCAGCATTTCCTCCTTATTTCCCTTCTGCTCTTTTTCTCCTTTAAAGATATTACAAAGAGGTTCAGACCGTGTCAGAACATATTCAAAATTGTCTTGGTAGCCCAACTGGTGGCTTCATTGGTATAAAGAGGTTGCAGAAGTTCCTGGGACGACCATTTCCTTTCAAGGTATACCTGGAAACATATAGTAAATTAAAAGAATCAAGTTCTTCTAAAACTCTGGCACTTGGGATCTGGCATTCAGCCAGACGCATCCTTACTGCAAAGCTTAATCCAAAACTGTTCAATGAATGCTGCTAATGTATTTGTTAAAAGTTATCATTTTACTTATTCCTGAGGCTAAGGCTAGGTAGAGCTCTAACTATTACTCTAGAATCTCTCCAGAGCAATATGAGTAAAGAAACCCTGCGTTTTCCAGAAGCATGAAAAAAAGAATCTTAAATTTCTTTTCAGGTATATCTAGGGTGCTGAAAAAAAAAAAAACCATAGTTCAGCTCTCTAATAGGCTCTCCTGGGTTTTATTGTTTCAGGACAAGCTAGTGGTAGAGTGTTTTTCACAGTTGAGAATCCTCAACAGAGCCCTTGCCATCAGAGAGCAGATGCCTGTCGTTGGGGAGAGTGGATGGCAAGAAGATTTCAGTCGTCTCCAAGTGGTTGCTTCTGAGTGGACATTAAAGAAAAGTCTCCTGCAGGCCTGGGGATTGATCCTCAGAGCTAATATTCTAGAAGATGTCAATCTAGGTAATATATTCTGGTGTTTGAATGACCGTCAACACTCTGAGCATATCCTCTTACCTGCCGCCATTAAGTTTTTGCCTTAGATTTTTCCCCCTTTGGTATAGTGTAAATAACATTAAATAAATGTCAGTCATTGAGCTAAAATTTACATACATTGTTTAACTCCATTCATTAGAATTTTGCAGAAATTAATATCATTTAACAAATGAGAAACTTGGAGCTTAGGTTAAGCAGCCTAACTCTGATTAACTCATATTAAACTCATAGTCACTTTGCCAACTATTGGGAATCTAGACCCTGAACTCTTGACCATCTCTTCTCTAATACAACATTTCTTTTTTATCTGAATTGAAGATGAGTTGAAGAATCTTGTGAGTGCTCAGTGTTTAGAACTCAAGGCCAAAGGACTTTCACTTGGTTTTCCGGAGAAAAAGCATGGTGAAGCTTCCTTTGCACCCCAGCCAGACTTTACCTCTTTAATTCAACTCACCAGGAGTGTTCAATTATGGCCTACAATGGAATACTTGGCTATGCTTTGGCAGTACAAAGTGACAGCTGATTTTATGACACAGGCTTATTTGAGAAGGTATGCCATTCTTTCAGTTATTTTCTTGATAGATTTTTTGTGTTTCCTGTATTGTAAACAAAGCACAGACATAAGGAGGTATAGCTGCTGAGGCACAGGAAGGTCACTTGCTACTTTTGAAAGCCAAATCTTATTAAAGATTCTTTATTTCAGCTTCTCCCCTAAAAATTACTAGAATTTTTTTCCAGTAGAGTTGCTTATTTTTAAATAAATGTACCCTAAGTTTTGTGTGTTTCATCTTCCCTCACATATAAATTCTCTAGTAGTTCACTGACAGTCCAAACCCAAGCCTCTCACTGTATATTTTGGAACAGGTTCAGCAAAAATCAGCAACCTCTGATAGAGGAGGAGATAAGACATCACATCACATTTTGTCTTCAGCACACACCAGTTGCTCCTCAAGAACTTCGAGACCTGTGGTCTTTACTGCATCATCAGAAGGTAAAAACCAAAATCAGGAAGGGAAATAAGCCTCTTTTCACACTGTGTGATTAAATTTTCTATGGCAGATTGGTTATAGAATAATTTTGTGCATTTAATAAAAAAATTCCATGTTGCAATACCCAGGCTTATCTGAATTACCTCTTAATGTAGGAGAATTTTGAATTTTCTTTTGCAGTAATTACAATAGCATTGTACAGTTTTTATCACAGCAGTATTCGTTTGGGTTCCAGTTAAGTGAGGTGAAAAGCATTTTCTCAAAAATACATTATAAGAACATTTATTTCTTTTGATAATGAACATTTATTTGATAAAGAACATTTATTTCTTTTGATAATGTGCAATCTGCTTTGCTTATACTTCCTCGTGCAGCCTTATAAAAACATATAAAAACAGATTTTATTTAGTGTGATTAAACTTACAAACAAGGTATATGACTCCACCAAGATGACCAAGGTGGCAAAGAATTAGGAAAATTAAGATAATATCTTTAAATCCATGTTAGTTTTAGATAGATCTTAAACAACAAAAGACCATGATTTATGGAATCATTTTCATAAATTTTTTTATTCCTTTATCTCTAGGGATCTGCTGAAGAAATTACTTGTTTGTGGTCTGAGTTATTTAATTCCACATTTATGTCTTTCTGGAGCAGTACTGTGACCACAAATCCAGAGTACTGGCTAACATGGAACCCTCTGCCCAATATGCAGCAGAGGGAGATGCCCAAGTCCCTTTTGGACTCTACATTAAAGGTTTGTTGGCATAAAACTGATGGTAGTAGGTTAAAAAAAATTCCCAGTAACTCTGTTAGTAATCATTTGTTCCTAGAATAAAATAGTTGACTATAAATAGGTGATTTTGATACTTTGTTTTCTTCATGATGCTAAAAAAGTGTGTTGTCAAAAAATGTATTCTTTATCTTAAATGATTTTTGTAATTGAGTTAAAGCCATAAAGATTTCCTTTAAAAAAGTCTTCATTTCTTAAAATTATAAAACATTTTAACCATTTAATTTATTAGAAATAACCACTCTAATCTGTATCTCTGTTTATATACTCATATGCATTGTTTTGTTGTTGTTGTTGTTGTTGTTGTTTTTTTTTGCTTTTTCTTTAAGATGAGGTATTGCTATGTTTTCCAGGCTGGTCTTGGATTTGTGAGCTCAAGAGATCTTCCCCATCTTAGCCTCCCAAGTAACTGGGATTATAAACATATGCTGCCACATCTAGAATAAATAGTATCATTTATATGAACAAAAATAATACTTTATTTGTTCACAAATGTGTCATGGAAATGTGCTTGTCATTCCAGGTTACATTAGTTCATTGTATTGATGTACCACAATTTATTTAATCACTTTTCTTTTGATAAGTTTTGAGGTTTGTTTTCTTCTTCCTCTTTTAACAAGCCTAGCTACATTTACTATCCTTATATAATCTGGCATTTGTCTTGAATATTTCTGTGGGTGATTTTTTGGAATTAAGTTTTAACCCATGGTCAATGTGATTACATATTAAAAAATAATAATAAATAATATATGCCTAATATATACAAATAGCTCTTTTTAGGCTTTCTGAGGAGGTGCTTTACTTTTTTTTTACTTTGTAAACATGCAAGTTACTGACCAAAACAGAAGTTTTGGAGCTCTGGGCCACCATAGAAGGTTCAGGACCAGAATACAGTTTCACTCCTGATCTGTAGGAGGGCCTGTTTCCCACATGCTTACCATGCTAGGTGTAATCAACATGTCTAATATTATTGCCAATTCTACAATTTAAAAACTTTATTTGAATTTATACCTCTTCGAATATTAAGATTGAACATCTTTTTACATTTATTAATCCTTTTATTCTACCAACTTTTCAGTCATATTCATTGTCCAGTTTTTTAAATATTGGATTGTTCAGTATCATTTTAATTATTAAAGGTCTTTTTATATTATGGACATTAATCCTTTTTCCATAAGGTCTGAAGTGTATTTTTAGTCTTCTGTTGTCTTTCAAATTATTAATGTTATAATGTTATAATGTTTTTAACTATGCCAGTCTTGTCTTCAATCATGCTTAGTTGTCATGCTTTTTAAAGACTATTTTCCTTCACCATTCCTACAGTAAAAACAGTCTCCCCATATTTTCTCCAGTGTTTTTTTTGTGTGTGTGTTTAAATTCATTATCTGTTTATCTTTTGTTCAAAAGGGAGGCAAGTTTTTTCTTTTATACAAGTAATAGATCTAAAATCACTTTATAAACACTATTTTTGATTAATCCTTTCCATTCTCATTTGAAAAGCCACCTTTATTATACACCTTAGTCCCACAAATACAGAATTATTGTTGAGCTCTAGTCTATTGCTTTTATCATAATTATTATCATCATTGTAAAACATCTCTTAAAGCCTTAAGTAACAAACCGTATGGATCCCTAAGAGTTGCATGAAGTATACTGTGTTTCCTATTTTCTATCTTATGTTTTTGACCACCTGACTCTTTACTGTGGACAGCTATTACTGAGTCCCAGATTAATAGTCCAGTGAATGCATGCTTGACAGACTTTATGTCTGGCTCTTAGATTGGCCTTGCAACTCCTTTCCCTGCCTCCAACTCTCATCTCCCTGTCTATTACAAGAATGGTCTTCCTGATTTCCCGGTTTTGGAGTTTTCTGGTATGGTACTAAAGCACTCATTGCTCATTTCTGAGAGAATGCAGTCCACATTCCTTTAAGGCTACTAATAGCTCACTCCTTCCTGCTCTTCTTGTCCCATCTGTGACTGTTCTGAACAACTTGAACCTCCTTATTCTGTTTCCTCCTTGAAGGTGTCCCAGTGCTGTTGTTGAAATTGTTTTAGTTGATTTCTGAAAGATACTGTTTTTTTCTTGTCCTTCAGGGCCCTGGCAGTCTCTGTAGAGCCACATTCTCCAAGTGCTGCTTTGAAGTCTTGACTAGCAGCTGCAGAGCAATTTCCTGGGATGTGAGTGGCCTCCCAGTCCTGTCCTCTTCACATGTCACACTGGGAGAGTGGGTTGAAAGAGCCCAGCAGCTACGGGACATCAACTCATTGCTTTGGACCAACATGGCTGTCCCTTCAATAGCAGAATTCAGGTATTCCTTGTCCCTGGGAGCAGTTTATGAAGCTCATGAATGTTCTCTAACTGGGACTCAGTCAGAACTGCTTCTGACATGGCTGACTTCGGTGTGTGAAAGTGAGGGTGTTTGCTGAGTGGGTCAGCATGTTTTCAGTCCATGACAACGCCATCATGAGCTGTCTGGTCCTTTTTTTTTTTTTTTAATGCATATTATGATCAGGAAGATGGTGCTCAGAAAAAAATCACAGAAAGATTATATGAGAACTGAAGTTCATCTTGTTGAATGTTGACTGTGCAGTATGCAGTTAAAATTTCTTGGAAGAATGAGACTGTATAAAAAGTGATCCTATTTGATTCAGCAATTCCTTAAGTGTTTCCTTGTTGTCCCAACAGACACACAGACTCCCAGCTCCAGGGACTAGTGCTGTGCCGACACCTAGCGGGCCTAGCAGAGCTGCTCCCAGAACCCCAGCAGCAGGAGTATGTACAGAACTGTGAGCAACTGCTGCTTAGAGACAGCCAGGCCTTCCACTATGTGATCCAGACTCTTGGGGATATGGCTGGTCAGGAGGCACTCCCCAAGGAACTACTCTGCCTGTTTCTCACCTCCCTGCACCACTTTTTTGGGGAAGGGGAGAATAAGAGGAACCTGCCTGAACCAGCCCAGCGTGGGAGCCTCTGGGTGAGCCTTGGCTTGCTCCAGATTCAGACCTGGCTTCCTCAGGCACGCTTTGACCCTGCAGTGAAGAGGGAATGCAAGCTCAAGTATGCCAAGGAAGAGGTATGAGAGGCAAGAGTTTGGAATATGTGCTCAGTTTCTGATGCATTGGATTTGCTTAGGGTGTTATTCCTTTTACTCCCTTTTGGCTAATGAGATGATCAAAGATGTCATTTTGTGTGAACTGCCTATGACTTCCAATGAGTCTGTTTTAAGACTGCTACTGCTGCTTTGAGAGGTCCTCTACATAGACTTAGACTGTGAGAGGGCACCTTCCTAAGGTTCTGATACATCTTCCAATAGATGCGATAAGCAGAGGGCAACCTGAGGCATTGTCAGAGAAATAGTGGAATTCCTCACTATCCAGACTCTGAGCCAGGTTTTGGATATTTGGGTTCAAATTACTTCTTTAGGTAGGATGTAGTACCCCTATAACCTAGGATTTAGTTTTGGTGTTTGTTATATAAAACTCAGGAATCAAATAATGTAGTATCTCTTGTTATTTGAACTTCCAAACAAAGTCAAGAATTGAATACATTAAGATAATGACATACTAATACTGTATGATGAGGAAGGAATGTTATTAGTTGGGGTGAAGGCTAAGCTGCTGTAAAAAGACTCAGATTTAGTGGCATGAAAGTTTCTTCTGCCTAATAACTCTGAGGTAAATGGTCTAGTTTAGTGAAGCAGAGCCACCTGTCCTTAGGTCATTCAGGAATCCAAATTCCTTCTATCCTGTTGCTGTACACTCCTGGGGCATTGTTTTCTTGTGCATGATCATCAGTGGGACACACCAGACTATTTTCTCTATTCCTTTAGTTACACCAGCTACAGTGTGAATGGAAGACCCGGAACTTATCATCTCGGTTACAAACTGGAAGAGACCTGGAAAATGAAGTAATTATCAATTATTCTCATCCTCACATCAGGTAAGGCAGCAAAGTGATTATTTTTGTTAGAGATTATTGTCTTTACTTTTTAAAAAGACATTATAAGGCTGACCTTTATAGTAATATTATAGTGTTAGTGAAGTGATGCACATCTTTGAACTATGTTAGCAATTAGGTCCCAAATCCTTCATTATAATCAAGAAAACGATATGTTCTAAAAGGAGGGAAAAGACATTCAAGGTGTAGATTTACGTGGGATCAAGATGGTTGAAGCCAGAGCTACTCCTCAACATGGAACAAGTTGGATGCAATGATGTGCACTTTATTTCTTTGCTTTTCTTGGCTACAGATCTGTTCCCTTAGCTTAGAGTCCCAAGTCTTTTCCTGACCTTCCTTTGACTATAGACAATAGGGTAGCTCACTAAATGCCATTACGCCTCAGTGTCCATGTCCACAAAAGGGAGATACTTGTAGTACCTCCTTTGGATGAGATATGCATCTAAAATGATAGCAATGTGTGGCACAGGGTAGGTGTTCTGTAGGTACTATCATTTTCACTATAATTTTCAATATCATTCTCATGTTATTTCTCAGCAGTTGATAAGTCTTCATTCATTCCATTTTCCTTAGCTGAGGGTTCAGTCCAGATTTGCTGTTCTTTTTCTAACAGAATTTGCAAATTATATTAATTTGCCTTCAGGTTACTTCATCAAAGGATCAATTACCTAGAGAACTTAATCTGCAGCCTGTCGAAGAAGCAGGCCTTCAGACCCCAGCTGCCTACCTATGAGTCTCTGGTGCAAGAGATCCACCACTATGTCACCAGCATTGCCAAGGCCACTGCTATTCAGGATCTGCTTACGCGGCTGCTGCAGGTTCTCCATGCAGATGGGCCACGATCTGCCCAGGTGGCCCAGAGCCTTCTAAAAGAAGAGGCCTCTTGGCAGCAGTCACACCACCAGTTCAGGAAAAGGCTAGGGGAAGAATATGCCCTCTACCCAGATTCTGTGATTCCACTACAGGCTTCCATCTTACAGTTGCAGCATGGCATGAGGCTAGTAGCATCTGAGGTCCATACCTCACTCCACAGCAGTGTGATCTGTTCCGACAGGCTGGGTGCCTTGGCTATGGCTTTGTTGGCTTTTCCATCAGTGGGCCCCACCTTCCCCACCTATTATGCTCACGCAGATGTCTTGTGCTCAGTGAAGTCAGAGGAGGTTCTTCGAGGCCTTGGGAAACTGACCATTAACCGCTCAAGAGGAAAGGAATCAGAAGGCATGGGCCAGCAACCCTGCCCCACCCGCGAACAGCTGCTAATGAATGCCCTTCTTTACCTGCACTCCCATGTGCTATGCAAGGGAGAACTGGACCAGAGGTCCCTGTCACTCTTCAGACATATCTGTCAGGTAAGCCTTTGTCAGCATGTCCTGCCTGCCCTTTTTAAGGGAGGGAGCTAAAAGCACAGGCCAGCATGCAGAACATTATCAGAGTCAATGGTTGAGGAATCCTCTTGGCTGTTCCTTTCTTTTATCTACTTAACTACCAGGTTTGGGGGCCTTTGCCCCTAAATTTTTAATGGTTTGGAGGCTTTGGGGCTTCCCCCCACCTTTCTGGTATTGGAGATTAAACCCAGTAGGGCTGCTCTACCTCTGAGCCACATCCCCACCCCCCCACACACACCTTTTTTTGAAATAGGGTCTGACTGAGTTGCCAAGGATAGCCTTGAACTTGTGATCCTCCTGCCCCAACCTCCCAGTGCTGAGATTACAGGTGTGTACCATGGTGCCTGGACTTTTTTTTTTTTTTTTTTAAGGTAGTACTAGGAATTTAACTTGGATTTGTGTATACTAGGCAAGCATTCTACATTAAGTTGCATCCCCAGTCCTTTTTCTATTTTAAGACTGGATCTTGCGAAGTTCCCAAAGCTGGCCTTGATTTGTGATCCTCCTGCCTTTGCCACCCAAGAGCCAGCATTCCCACACTGAAAATTTCTCCTATTTAGTTGGTTATCTTTTGATTTTGCTTATGGTAATTATGATGTAAATTGCACCAATTTTTGTTTAAAAAAATAGCTTATTGTTTTCTTTCCCCTTACTAAGTAACTTGTCACTGTAGATAATTAAAAGAGTAAATATAAGTAAAGATTTTAAATAATCTTACTATTTATACCTGTTACTATATTGGTATATCCCATTCTAAGCTTGTGTGTATATCCTATAGATGCATATCTACATGCCATATTTGAGGTAATGCGTCCCAGCGGTTCAGATTTTTTTTTTTTAAAGCACCAGCTTCTTAAAAAAAAAAAAATCAATCTCAGCATAGAGAACCAATATTTAGCAGATGAAAGAGTTATATTGTTTAAGGTCACTTCTGTGATGTCCATGACCCCTGCTACATGTTCTTAAAATGCTAGAGCTTTACAAAATACTTAGCAGAGTACTAAAAAATTCATTCTGTTTCGTAAATTGCTTTTTAAAACTTAATAGGGAGCTGGGGATATGGCTCTAGTGATAACACGCTCACCTGGCATACGGGGCACTGGATTTGATCCTCAGCACCACATAAAATAAAGATTGTTGTGTCCACTGATAACTGAAAAATAAATATTAAAAAATTCTCTCTCCAAAAAAAAAATTAAAAAAAAAACTTAATAGGACTTAGTGATTATATCTCCTTATTTTATATTCATATATTTAATGACTAATTTTCTATCATGTATGCCATATGTCATTTAACTAATTTCTGATGAATGAACATTTACATTTATATGCAATATTTTTATTATTTTGAGAAAAAAAAACAGTGTCATGATAAACAGACTTATGACCATATTCTTTGGGTACAAATTCTGGAAATCAGAATTACTTGGACAGAAATTAAACATAGTTCTTGGAAGTTAGTACAAATTAACTTCTAATGGTATATGTACCTTATCCCTCAACCACACTGGGCAGTTTCTTGAATTCATAGTTTTCTCCAATTTAAGGACCTAAAGTCTTAAAAGGTAGTGGGGAATTCAAGAACTATCTGGTAAAACACAGTCCAGTTTTTTCTAGTTGGTGCCCTTTGACCATCCAGGACCTAGAAGGTTTTCCTTTCCAGAACCCTGGGCCAATTCCTCTGGTGCCTGGCAGGTGCAGTTTGAATTAAAACCCACACAACCCAACCCTAAGCCTGACTGTTACAGTTTGGATGTAAGGAGTCACACAAAAGATCATGTCTGAGATAATGCAAAGAAGATTTGGAGGAGAAATCACTGGGTTATTATAGCCTAAGCCTAATCAGTGAATTAATCCCTGATGAGATTAGCTGAGTGGTACCTGGAGGCAGGTAGGATATGACTGGAGGAAGTGATTCATTGGGAGCATGACTATGGTATATATTTTATATCTGGAAAGTGGAGTCTCTCTCTGCTTTCTGATCACAATGTGAGCTGCTTCCCTCTGCCACACTCTTCTGCCTCACCTCAAACCCCGGGGAATGGCTCTATCCTTCTCTGGACTGAGATCCCTCAAATGAACTTTTCCTCCTCTACAGTTATTCTGGTTGAGTCCTTTTATTCACAGCAGGGAAAAAGCTAAGTAAAACAATAACCTTGGTACAAAATACTGCTAATCCCTGACACAGGAAGTTCCTAATAATTCCATTGCAGCACAATTTTAGACCTTTGAAATTTTAGCGGCATAACAAAGGGAAATTTTCAGGAAACTATTTACTGAAGAGTTTGATCAAGTTTAATTTCTTAGATACTGGCTTTTGTTCATTTTTGAGCCATGGTAGTTTCTTTCATGAGAAACTAAGACAGCAAATCATGCCTGTACTCATTTCAAGTGCACTCTACTACCCATGTGTCTTTCCAGGAGATTATCAATGAGTGGGATGAACAGGAACGCATAGCCCAAGAGAAGGCAGAACAGGAAAATAGCCTGTACAAATTCAAGAGCAAGAGCTCTAGGATCACCCTAAGCGAGGAAGAAGAGGAAGAACAGGAGTTCAGAAAACAGTTTCCACTGCATGAAAAGGTAGAGTGCTGGTGTCAGGATTTGTTTGGAAATGAATTCCCCTGGTTCCACATACATTCCCTCTGAATGGCTCTGTAGTCTTTTTAATATATTTCAGTGCGTGTAAGTCTTCATTTTCTTCATGATTCATGCCTCTTTCTTCCTCTTTGTTCTAGACTGATTACAACCAGATTCTGATTTTTAAGTTTATAATTGTTTTAATATTGTTTACAGGACTTCGCAGATATTTTGATAGAGCCAACACTTGAGGAGAAAAAAGGAACTTTAGATGGACAAGAAGAGGATACAGCCACAGACCCAGCTGCCCTCTCCCAGAGTTCAATGCAGGCAGTAATGTTGATACACCAGCAGTTGAGCCTCAACTTTGCTAGGTCCCTGTGGTACCAGCAGGCTGTGTCACCACATGAGGCAAAGCACTACCTCAGCTTGTTTGCATCTTGCTATCAGACTGGGGCTTCTCTTGTGACACACTTCTACCCGCTGATGGGTATGGCCAATTACTTTTGCTTTACCCTTGGGAAATCAAAATGAATAAATGGAATCCCTACTTCTTGAATAATTAAAATCATAAATTCACCATTTTTATTTAATTCTTTATCAATAGTTTTCTTTGCTTAAAGAATTTATACTAATTTTAAAAAGTGATTAAAAATTCTGCAATAAGATGGATTTTTATTGTTTGAATCATTTGGGATGAAAGATAGGAACTTAGTTTATTTATATAGTCTTTTTTCCTCAGCATTATTTCCACTTCCCTCTAATAGACTTAATGCTTTCTAGTCAGGTATTCTTGGGAGCAATCTGGGAACTCAAAACTCTCAGAATCTAATGTGATGGTTGTTTTTGATACAGTTTCCAGTGTGACCTCAAGAATTGTCCCATGCAAGTAGGAAGAAGGCTTTAACTTCTCTACTGATCTAGAATTGCTAAAGGAACTGAATTTGAATGCATCCAGTCAAATATTTTTGTTTATAGATAAGCATCTTACTTCCACAAAACCTGAAAACTTGTGGTAGCTACTGTGCTAATAAGGTCACTCATCTAGGCCAGTGTTGCTTTAGGAGAGAATAGTATTAGAATACCTGTTTTACTAGTCCCACCCAATTAGTTGATTGTTTCTGACATCTTTGTAATTTTGATAAAATACCTGAGTTCTCTGACTTCACCATAATGATGTTACCTTTACAGGAGTTGAACTGAATGACCGACTTTTGGGCAGCCAACTTTTGGCCTGTAGCCTTTCCCATAACACACTCTTTGAAGAGACAGCCTCAGACCTAATGGTGAAACCTGATGGGCCCTATGATTTCTACCAGCACCCCAACGTATCAGAAGCACAACAGTGTCAGCCTTTGCTTCACGGTTTCTCAGAGGCTGTCAGTCAGTTGCTGCAGGATTGGCCGGAACACCCTGCACTTGAACAGGTAGGGCAGCTGGTGAAGAAGGGATGAACTGCCCTGGGAATATGGCCTCTAACTATGTCCAAGGGCATTCCCTCAAACACTTGAACATATAAACAAAGATTTAAAGAACAATAATTGAGATGCTATTTGATCAGGATCCACAGTCCTGGAAATTTTCATCCACAATTTTCAGAGGTGCTTTCAAAGTAGAGAATGAAGGAATGAAGCTTCCTGTCAGAACTCCCTTCAGTAGCCTGTGACTAAATAACTGTTTTTTTATGATTCTTTTTAGTTACACATGACAATAGAATCTATTTTGATATAATTATACAATCATGGGAGTCACTGGTATTTCTGCTGAGATACCCAAATCTTTTTTTCTGTAGCTGCTGGTCGTAATGGACAGAATTCGTAGTTTCCCACTTTCCAGTCCTATCTCAAAGTTTCTGAATGGCTTAGAGATTCTTCTGGCAAAGGCACAGGTAAGATTCCCTCTTTTTCCTCTTCTAATTTGTGGTATTCTGACAAACGTTTTATCTCACTTCCCTCTAATAGACTTAATGCTTTCTAGTCAGGTATTCTTGGGAGCAATCTGGGAACTCAAAACTTTTTTTGTTAGAGGAACAAAGAGTTAATAGTTTGATTTGGAGAAAGGTAAACATCTTTGGTTTTTCTACTATGGGTGGAGATCAGTACAGTAAATCTGTTGCCCCTGTGGTAGGGCTGACTATGCATAACCTCTTTTGGGGAGTGAGACCTAGTATCCCCTGGCACTGAATTCTCACTTTGCCGAAATGTCCAGTGAGCCTTCAGTCTGGCTGAGTGATCATAGGTCATCTTCCTCAGTCCCCACACAGCCTCTGAGGTGACTGGTGCCTCTCCATTTCACAGAAATAGTCACTGACTCTGTTCAGGGTCAGATAGCTTACAACAGTAATTCGGACATCAGTCCACAAACCCTATGCTTTTTATGATCTTCTACAACATGACAGCTGCAGTTCTATCACACAACCATAAACTTGAACCTGGATACACTTATTGTAAAATCATCACTGCTGGTGGTAAAAGTTGTCAAGGATCCTGTAGTGTTTCTCAAGAAAAGTCTGAAATGTTATTGAGGGAATACATGATCATGGGGCTGCATAAAGGGCATAGTACATTCTATCTTTTTGTTGTTGTTGTTGTTGTTGTTGTTTTAATATACCCCTTTAGGACTGGGAGGAGAATGCAAGTCGAGCTTTGTCTTTGCGGAAACATCTCGATTTGGTCAGTCAGATGATCATTCGGTGGCGCAAACTGGAGCTGAAGTAAGTGACTCTCCCTCTTAATTGTTAAGCACTGTTATATATTGATGGGTTTCTTGGAACGGTTATGTTATGACAGTTACAGAATCTGCTTTTTCAGCCATTAATCACTGAGTTTAAAGCAGGACATTAAAATGATCTTAAAAAGACCATTCTTATTTTTTAATCTTTCTTTTTTATGGTACTGGGATTTGAACCCAGGGACACTTTATGTGAGCTACATCCCTATCCCTTTTTAGTTTTCATTTTGAGACAGTCTCACTAAATTTCTGAGGGTATCCTCCAACTTGTAGTCCCCCTGAGGCCATATACTCAGAGATAGCAAAATGGACAGCTTTTTCCATCTCCGTTTGTGAGAATATGAGGATTTAATTTCTGTGATTTCACATTTTTCAAATGGATTGCCTAAATGTCTCCATGGCCTCTTTTTCTTATGTTTCAGCTGTTGGTCCATGAGTTTGGATAATACCATGAAGCGCCACACTGAGAAATCCACCAAGCACTGGTTCTCCATCTATCAGATGCTTGAGAAGCACATGCAGGAACAAACAGAGGAACAAGAAGGTAATACTTGGCAGGAACTCCCTGCTCATTCAATGATTTCAAGCTAAATTGAGTACTGCAAAGTATAGGATTTACCTGTTCCCATAAGTCACAGAGGTTCAAGTGATTTGCCCAAAATCTGGAGAACCAGTATATGATAAAAAATTTTGTTATTCTGTATTCTCCATGCCCATGATTCAAAATGAAAGTTGCCTTCTTGGTAGGTAGTAGTTAACATGCTCAAGTTCAAGTTTAAAAAAAAAAAGACTTATTATTCATTTCTGTTGCTGTGAGTGCATTTAACATATATACCTTGTATGCAGCTGTTACTTTGAAAGCAGTGGTCTTTGCTTCAACGTGGCTTTAACTGGGGTTCCTACTAATGGCCGTCCCTTTATATATCCCATGATAGACTGCATGCATGTTATGGACAATGTGTGATTATAAAAAACACATGTTTTCCTCTTTTAATCTCAAAAGATGACAAACAGATGACTCTGATGTTGCTGGTCAGCACATTACAAGCATTTATTGAGGGATCCTCTCTGGGGGAGTTCCATGTGCGACTTCAGATGTTGCTGGTTTTCCATTGTCATGTTTTGCTGATGCCACAGGTTGAAGGAAAGGGTGAGGATTTTCTTTTTTTCCTTTATAGTGCACTGTTAAAATGGGTTAGGCTTTGAATCCTCCACATGAGACAGTTATGTTTTTTGCACATCAGGTTTTAAACAAGGCACTTCTAATTATCTGTTTAATTTTAATATGATTCACACTAGATACAGATATAGTCAAAGCAAAGTACAGTTGATTATAGATGAAGCACTGACTAGTGAACTCTGGCAGAAGCATATTGCCAGATGAGCCAGGCATAGTGGCACACCTGTAATCCTAGTGACTTGTGGAGGCTGAGATGGAAGGATTGCAATTTTGAGGCCAGCCTTTGCAACTAAGTGAGACCCTGTCTTAAAATAATAGAAAGGGGACTGGGGATATAGCTCAGTGGTAAAGTAGCCCTGGTTCATTCCCTAGTACAGAAAAAAGAAACACATACATACATACATATATTCCCTCCCCTACCAGATGAAGTTCTTGGGAACTTGTGTGTCAAGCAGTACATCTTTCCATCTATCTGGATACTGTTTATTTCCTGCTAAGCCAGTACTTAATCCAGGTCACTAGTATGTTCTTTGATCTAGTGAGAATACTGCCATAATTTCAAGGAACTGCATATAAAATTGCTACTATAAGTTATTATCCTTGACCACAGCAGGTTTAGGACAAAATTGTGAAGTGAGTGTAGGATGTACATGAGTGAACAATTGAGATGAACCTCTTAATATGCCATTGTTTAAAACAGTTGTTGTGTCTATTGATTTTATAAGAAGATTCAGATAAGTTTTGAAGTAGTGATTTTAGCAGAACTTCTCTGCATACCTCATCTTCAAGAACTAAAGAGCAGTAAGACCAAAAAAAATCTGCTGTAATCTGAATTGAAAAATAAATTAGTGTTTATAGCCTACCATCTCTGTGAATTGCTAAGCTCAGACAGGCTTCCTAGATAATCTGCCTATGCAGTATGCTATAATTGCATGGCATAAAGAGTAATGAGGAAGGCTTGCACTGAAATGTGAAACCCACAGGTGGCACCAGTAGCACATGCAGCAAGTGTGGTGTGTTGTTTCCTTTTCATTTCTTTCAGATTCACTTTGTAGTGTTCTATGGAATTTGTACCATTATTACCAGCAATTCTTTGACCGGGTCCAGGCCAAAATTGTAGAACTTCGTTCCCCTCTAGAAAAAGAACTTAAAGTAAGATGAACAACTCTCATGATCATCTTTGGGGGAAAAAAAAACAATCAAATTCTTTTTCTTTATTTCTGTTCTTTTGTCCATTTAAGAGAGGCCAGGGCCAAAGGGAATAGAGGCAAGTGATGCTGCAAGTAGGATAATAAGACTGGTATTTTGTGATGGTAGTCCCATTAGTGACCTAACCACATGTGTGAGGGCCCTCTCTCTTTGATGCTTTCAGAGGTTGTGGAACCAACCCCTGGCAAAAGGAACATGACTGGCCCAGTAGTTTCTAAGTTAGAGTACATACCAACTGACCTATTGATTGTAGCAGCACTCTATTTATTGATAGCTTTGAAACACATTCATGGTTCCTCTTTTAGACTTGCTTTATTTCTTCCTTGACACACAGTCCTATATTTGAGGTGGGGTGGGTACTGGTCTTTGGTAAATAGATAAACTAAGGGGGGGGGGCGGACAGAATAACCCAGCTTTATAAAACCATTTCTTGAGCTTCATTTATCTTTCAGGAATTTGTTAAGATATCAAAGTGGAATGATGTGAGCTTCTGGTCCATTAAACAGTCTGTGGAAAAGACACATAGGTAATTTATATTTTAAAACTAGGGTGACTAAAACTCATAATTTTGTATGGTAGATAGCAAGACTACATTATTACTGTGGTCTGGCTTTGAACTTCTAAAAACCCCCTATGTGGCTTTCCTATACCTGGCCCAGTTGGCCAGAGCAAGGTCTCCCTGCAGGAAGAATGGGTATGCCTTGATTGAAAGTATACTGTGTAGTCTGGAGAGACTGACCTTCTGTTACCTACTAGCTGTTCATCTTGAGCAAAGCAACCTCACCATTCCTAACTTCAATACTTTCTTCTAAAAAAGTGGGGGGGCATGACAAATTTGCTATATTTCTTGTTTGTTTAAAAACAAAAAAAAAAGATTGTGAATATCTAAGATCATTGTATATAAAAGATACAGATACTTATGATGCATTTTAAATTTTTAAAAATATTTCACTTTGCAATCAATTTTTGTCTTCTCTGTTACCACCTGGGGTCAGAACCCTGTTTAAATTCATGAAGAAATTTGAAGCTGTCCTGAGTGAACCCTGCCGGTCATCCTTGGTGGAAAGTGACAAGGAGGAAAAGCCTGACTGTTGGCCCAGGCCAACAGATGAAGCCACAAGTGAGGCATCTCCTATCCAGAGTCTGAACAAGGCACTGAGGGAGACCCTGTTAGCCCAGCCAACAGCTGACCAGGTAACTAGCTTGTGGGACTGTGTGCTTATTCCATCAACCAGTCAGATAGAATCTGTTCTATTTCTAAGTAGTAACCTGGGAAGTAGACAAGGAAATGCCTTTGAAGTTCTGTTCCTTGGTTGTGTTTAATATTTGTTTACCTGACTCTGCTGCAGGATAAGGCAGTAGACATTGTTCTTGCTGCTAAAAGTTTAATGTTAGCCTGTGGGAAATAATTGTTGTGGTTTTCTGAGAACATTTCATTCATCTACCTATAAGGGAAGATTTTGAGCATCAGTTTAAGAAGATGCCATCGAGGCTGCCTTTGGTGCCAGTTGAGGAAGCTGCTGCCCAGGGGTGAATGTATGCAGTGATATGCTTGCTGGTTCTTAGTGGTTGCTGGTTATTATGATATAAATATTTCTACCAGGTGTAACTAAAAAATATATATATTTCTACCAGGGCTGGTTTCCAACACCACAGTTGGCTTGCAAAATTCCTGAAAATGTGACAGATCCTGAGTGAGCAGGTCTGTTGTAGGATGGTGGTTCCAGTTGTTCCCCTTGGTGTTGGAGCTTCAGGATTGGGGAACATTTCCTCAAGGGAGTTATTTCTTTTGGCTTCTTGATGGACTTACACTTCCATGTTCAAAGAGTTAGTAATGGAGATCACTGAGCTATTTTAATTAATTTATTCAGTATAGATACAGTTTTTTCCTGAATATTTTTTATTATACTTGGTTGGCTCTGTATTTTTCATGTTGATCTGCTATCACTTGTTTGGGAGTTCTTATCCCCCTAGTAGACCATGAGCTCTTTGATGGTTTCTGCTGCATTCACTGAGCTATTTTAATATTGTAATAGTTCCAAAGCATTACAGAAAGCCACATATGGCTGTATAGCTATCATATAGTACTCAAATTTCTTTTCTTTTTACTATATACATCTGCTTCTGTCATTCTGGTTAAAACTTTTGATCTGCTAATGATAGTAGCATAGGAATTGCATGGATTCTTCAGGAAAAAAAAAAAAGAAAAATATTCCTCAGAGCATAGAGGCCCTTCATCTAACATTTGAATTCCTCATATTTGAACTGTTGCTTAGAAATTGGAGGGCAGGGTAGATGGTAGGAGAAGTAGAATGTGGTAGACCAGTTTTGCCTTGATTGTTTGTCTGAGAGACAACAATGTGGCATAATTCAGTACCTTAATAAAGGCAACAGTTATATTTATTCATTCTTCCATATTTGTAAATCAAAACCTGAGTCTCCTTGTGACTAGAATAGAAAGTCTTGCTTGGTGTAGGGGGTGTCCTTGTGTTTCAGTGCTCAAATGCAAAGCAGTAATGCAGTTCCTGAAATATTCATAGTGTATGTCTTGTTTTAACTCTGGTGTTACATGTATTCTCATGAGACTTCTGTGGTGGTATTAACTTTATAATTGCTGAGCTGCGGGTTGGGGCATGATGTATACATATGCACTGTTTAAATTTATCACCTATGCAAGTTAAAACTGTTACCGTCATTCTTGGCAGTGAGGCTAACCTGTACACTCTCTCATAGGCCACAATTCCAGAACAGCAACAGGGTGCTACTCCTTTCTCTGTAGAAGGAAAACTTCTGCGTCGCTTGCCAAAGCTCATGAAACGAATGAGGAAGATATGCCTGACATTCATGAAAGAGAGCCCGCTGCCTCACCTCGTGGAGGGATTTGATCAGTTCACTGGTGGGTGCCAGAGGCCAAGGTGGAACCTGTTCGATCTCACTTCCCCAGGGGTCCAGGAGGGCTGGGAAATGTGGTACCTGTGTTATTTTTTAATGTCTTATATAGCATTAGTTAACTGAATAAGTGGAGGGCTAAAAGCTAGTAGAGCCCAAAGAGAGGAGCCCACTGAGAACACACAAAACTCTTCTCATTTTCATCGTGTCATCCTTGGATGTAAACTAGTGATAACTGTGTTGCCTAGGATGGTCTCAAACCCTTGGGTTTAAGTGATCATCCTGCCTCAGCCTCCTAAGTAGCTGGGACTCTAAGCATGTGCCACCATTTGCAGCCTGGCCATTTTCTATAATAGTTCATCTATGCTAGTTCTTGTTGGCTGCGGGCATAAGTGAAGGGACACAGAGGTGGGTTTCCCAGAGTCCTAAGCTATCCCCATCTCTCAAAATTTCTCCCTTGAATAAAATGAGAAGAAGAATTCATCCACTGTCTTCCTCTTGCTTTCTTCATTTCAGAGAAATGTTGTAGTTTCTTTTCCACCTGTCCTTACTCAGGGCAGTACAAGAATAAGAGAACCAAAATCTGCTCAGTTGTCTAATATAGCAGTAGTTGGGAGGGGAATCCATATCGTAATAGATAGTTTGGGCTTTGGGGAGCCTTTTACCACCTGCCTCATCCCTATCCAACTCTGGCCAGCCTTCTTTTAATTAGCCCTCAATCTGAAGTTGAGGATCTCTTGGTTTTAACAGCTTAAATAGAATAATAGCCTGCTAACTATCATTCAAAGTGACCTATCCCTGGGCCCGTTGATGGGAGTGAGTGGAATACAGATCTAGGTGCACCTCTTGGATGCCCAGCCCTCCAAGTGTGCATTTGTCCTCATCTCATAACTGCTTGTATTAGATCTGCCAAAGCATCCTTAACAGTATATGACAGGCTGAGTGGCTTAACCAGCAGAAATTTATCGTATCACAAATCCGTAAGCCTAAGGCAACATGTCAGCAGAGTTGATTTCTTCTTCTAAGACCTTCTCTGCTTACAGATGGTCACCTTCCTACTCTGTTCTCACATGTCATTCTTCATCTATGTTCTTTGTGTCCTAATCCCTTCTTTGGGGGACTCTGATAGGATTAAGTTAGGGTATGCCCTCATTTTACTTATATCTTTAAAGGCCCTATCCAAATATAGTCACATTCTGAGATATTAGGGGTTAGAACTTTCACACAGGAATTTTGTGGAGCTGAGCATAATTCTGTGGCAAAATGGCAGAATACCCTTGTGTATTCAGGAAGGCAGTGGTGCTATAAAGAATTTGAGTTTTGGAGTTGGGTAGACCAGAGCCGATATCCTGATTCAGCCACTCATTAGATGAATGGCCTTTAGAAAATCACCAGATCTCTTTGAGCCTTTAAGTCTGTAAAATGGATGCTACAAATAAGTGCTTCTGAAATTGTGCGGATAAAAGAGCATTTACCAAGTACTGGCTTAGAGTAGGAACTTAATACATATTGTGTCGTTTTTCTTTTTACCCCTATTTCCAGGCATCTTGACCAGTTTCATTCAAACACATATTGAGCATTTGCCAATTCATAGCTGTGTTGCCTAGGATGGTCTCAAACCTGTAGGCTTAAGTGATCCCACTGCCTCAGCCTCCTGAGTAGCTAGGACTCTAAACATGTGCCACCACTTGCAGCCTGGCCATTTTCTATAATAGCCCATCTAGATACCATGTAAGGTACCTAGATAATAGAGGTCAGTGGTACCTAGTCCTCACTGCCACAAAATATCCTTGGTTTTGCGTAACTTGACAATAAGCCCCTAGAATTTTCTTTTTTTGTCTCATAGGTGAAGTGATTTCTTCTGTGAATGAGCTGCAGAGCTTAAAAGTGGAGCCCTCTGCAGAAAAGGAGAAGCAGCAGTCAGAAGCCAAGCATATTCTCATGCAGAAGCAGCGAGCTTTATCAGACCTCTTTAAACACCTTGCAAAAACTGGTAAGGTACTCACCAAAAATACTAAGAAATAAAATCAGCTTTGCGAGGAAGAAAACAAATATGGGTGATTTGGAAGAATTCTGGAGGCAGTTGAAACAGTATCTGGAAAACAAAATGATGGATAAAGTTTTAAAATGTCATTCAAGAGTTCTAGTTGCATATGCAGGAAAATCCTATCACAAATCATTGATGATTCCCAGATGTTTTCAGTTTTGTAGTAAGATCTCTTATAATATATTGTATAGTATCCATCTTTCCAACACAGAATAGAGAGCAGTGTTTCCCAAATTAGTAATTACTAAGTTTACAAGTCACCTGGGGAATTATGTTAAAGTATAGGCACTGATCCTGTTTCAGTTGATGTGGAGCAGGACCTGAGTTTGCATTTCTGATAAACTTCTGGGTGATGCTATTCACAGGACTTTGAGTAGCAGGGGTGAAGGGGGCATATCTGTTCTCCCTGGGTTTCTTTGCTTAACTGAATTAATGCTATTTCCTAGGTTTGTCATATCGCAAAGGTCTTGCCTGGGCCCGTTCAAAAAATCCTCAAGAAATGCTTCATCTTCACCCATTAGATCTCCGGAGTGCATTGTCCATAGTCAGCACTCAGGAGGCTGATTCTAGGTTGGTTTATTTGTTTGTTTGTTTGTTTGTTTAATTACAAATGGACCAAGTCATTCAAGCCTCCATGTCCTCATTTGCCAATACAAGGACAATAATGCCTCTCTGTCTGGCCGAGTTGTAAAGAGTAAGAAAGATACCACTCATCAAAGTGCATAGTTTAGGATCTGGCATCTGATGAACATTCAGTAAATGTTAAATTTTCTTCTTTCTTTCCCCTTCTTTGTATTTACCTCTGCTGTTTTGTTTTTGTTTTTGTTTGTTTGTTTGTGGGGTTCTTATTGTTGTTTTGGCTAAAGCACATGTTCTACCACTGAGCTATACCCCATCCAGCCCTTGTTCTCTTTTTCTGGTCCTTTGATTTTCCTGAGATCTGCTGATTTGATTCGAATGTGAAAGAATGGCCACAATTTTCACTGCCTCTAATATATCCAAGTTTTAATATATTCTCAAATATAAGATTCCATAAACTTTTGAAACAAAACAGAGCTTGCTTTCCCTCCTTACCCAGGGGCACTTAACCACCATCATTAGCCCTTTATCTTTTATTTTTAGACAGGTCTCAGTAAGTTGCTTAGGGTCTCACTAAGTTACTGCGGCTGGCTTTCAACTCCTGATACTCCTGCCTCAACCTCCCTAACAGCTGGGATTATAGGCATGTACCACCATGCCCCAGCAAACAGAGATATTTGTATGTTAATATTCACACAAACCTTGTTGTAAGTGATGATTTGCATGTGTTTTGTTTGTTTAGTGGCTCTCTTAAGGCTTAAATTTGAATGCAACATAGCATTGTAAAAAGAGGAAATTGTATACTAACATTGGATTTTTAGTTTTTTAAGATAATCTGCCATGTGGGTTTGCTAGAGCTGAGTCATGTATTCTCTAGTTTGCTTTAGTCTTCAGCAACCCCCACATTGAGGTCAGCTGTCACTGCCATGTATCATTTCGTGCTTTGTTGTCATTAATCATTGATTTTTATCTACCTAGCCCCTGTAAACCAGAATTTATGGCCCCCAACCTCAACTGATAAGATAGTTTTAAAGATTTCATTGAGGAAATCATATGGTCATCAAATTGATTTACCTATCATACTTCTGGTATTAAATATACTACACATCCTTCATATAATATCTGAATGAATATCTGACTGAGTGAATCCCAATAACAAATCTATATAGACTGTTTGCTTTTGATTGTGGCCAAATAATAAATTAAATTTCTGAGTCTTCAAGATCCGGGGTGGGAGATTATGGTTTTAATTAAGTAATTAATTGTTGATTTATTTTTCAGGCTGCTTTCAGAAATCTCGTCTTCTTGGGATGGGTGCCAGAAGTATTTCTATCGCTCTCTTGCAAGGCATGCCAGGCTTAACATAGCCCTTGCAACTCCTGCCAAGGTAGAATAATATAGTATGAGAATTGCAAGGGTCTAGGGAAAGCTCCTATTCATCCCAGGGTTGCATTCTCAGACCTTGTAAATGATAGCAGCCTATTAGTGGAAGCAACTGAGCTTTTGCAAAACTCATTAAACCCAAAATATAATAAATCAGTATAATTTTGTGCTAAGTCATGCCCCCTAAACCTGTCTCTGCCCGCCATCCAGGTTCTCTACCACTGAGCTACAACCCCAGATCTTTTTATTTTGAAACAGGGTCTAAGTTGCTGAGGCTGGCATTAGACTTGTGATCCTTCTGCTTCAGCCTTCTGAGTAGCTGGGATTACAGGCATTTGCCAACAGGACCAAATATATAATAAGAAAAATATGGAAGAAAGACTTCACATGTGCCATCTTAATCTTTAACACTTAATCGTAGTTCCTATTGATGGAATAGCAATGATATGTGGAAGCATAATCTGGGAATCAAGGCTCATAAAGATTCATGTAGTCCTTCTAGAATGCAGCACATGCTCAGCTTATATAAACAAGAGTCTCTACCCTGAGAGTTTTTCTTAAAAAACAATAGCTTTCTTTTAGAGCCTCCCTGGCTCTAAAAGCAACACCTCCCACATGCTTTTCTTTCTCCTTCTGCCAGGAGATGGGCCTAGGCAACATTGAAAGGTGTAAAGGGTTCTCGGCACACTTGATGAAGATGCTCATCCAACAGCGGCGCTCCCTGACCACTCTGACTGAGCAGTGGATTATTCTCAGGTATCAGCTGACAAGTTGGGTTATAGTAAATTAGCATAGTGCAAATGTGTACAACAACTCACTAGCTGCAAGTGGTGAGGGAATAAGACCTGCTTTCAACTGTGAAATGAATGTGAGACCCCAGTAAGAGGACAGATTTTCTCTTGACTCTGCAGCTTGGCTTTGGCAGTATTCCTATGGCCCCGTTCTTCCCGCTTCCTCTGGCCACACCTTTTGAGAGAATGAGGCCTAGGAAATGCATTCAGGGCTGAGTTAGACAGTGAAAATTGTCATAGGTGAACTACACTTGGGTCTGGAATGAGGACGTTGGTTGTTGAAAGTCCAAATCCCTTTGGGCTGATAAGGTTATGTTTGTAATTAGGACATCATCACCTATGGACAGAGACCAGATTCGAGTCTGTTTCTGATGGTTAGCATTTGAGAATCCTCAAGTGGCAATTTGCTGAGCTGTATATGGATGTTCCTCAATAGAAAGACATAATTAAAAGATCAATACAATTAGGAAGGCTGTCGTCATCTGTTGAATGGATTCTTGGCTGAAAGACTTGCTTCACTTTGGCTTCATCTATTTTCTGCTCCATTTGTTAGGATTTATTTCATAAAGTGTCATACATTTACTAGATATTAGTAGTTGAAATTCCTGCAGTAATGTGATTTTGTGTTGGTTTTCAGAAGGCTCTAAGAATCAGGTAACAAGCCATTAATTTTTATACCTCTTCTGAAAGACCAACCTTGTGTTTAAATGCTCTAAGAGGCATTTTAACAGCCTTCATACTTATCTAGGGTATTTTTTTTTTCTTTTTCTTTTTTGAGGTGCTGGGAATCAAACCCAGGGCCTTATACAAGATAGGCAAGTGCTGTACCACTGAGCTACAACACAGCCCTTCTTATTTACATGGAAAAGCCCATGCTTGTCTAAAGCATACAAATTTATTATTAAAAACAACAGTGACGTGGTTGAAAATACTATTGTGTTTTCCTTATGGTTTTTCTGCACAGGAACCTTCTCTGCTGTGTACAGGAGATTCACAACAGGTTGACAAGGCCTCTGGTCTACCCTGTGGCCTTTCCACCTCAGGACAGTGTGCAGCAGTGGACAGAGCGGCTACAGCACCTGGCCATGCAGACCCAGATTCTGCTCGAGCAGCTTTCCTGGCTCCTCCAGTGCTGTCCTACTGCAGGACCACCTGCAGGCCATGGAAATGCTCCATTCCAGGGTCAGCCTACTGACATCCACCTGGAAAAACCAGAACTCATCAAGGGACAGCTGTCCAGAGCCGTTCCAGACTTGATTCCCTTTTATCTAAGCTACCCATCCCCAGTACCTGGAAGTCAGCTACCCTCTGGTTGCCGTATGCGGAAACAAGACGAGCTTTGGCAACAGTCAGTTGCAAAGTTAACAGAAATGCTGAAAACCATTAAAACAGTGAAAGCTAATGTTGACAAAATCAGACAGCAGTCTTGTGAGACCCTCTTTCATTCATGGTGAGTGTGTCTATCCTTATTCTTAGGTGCTTAGGTTCTTATTCAGAGCTTAGTCATAGGATAAAATTATGAAAAGAATTATGCTTGGGTCCATTGTTGTTCAGTTTATCTACATGGCACTTGGTGGTATATCTAACCTTCAGATACAGTGGGTTTTATCCTGCATACATTTTAGTGGGTTAGAAGGAGAGGTGTGTGTGTGCGTGGGGGGGTGGGGGGGATGATAGCCCCTTCCTTCCAACATTGTGACATTTCTGTTGCAGGAAAGATTTTGAAGTTTGCTCTTCTGGGCTGAGTTGCCTGTCCCAAGTATCAGCTCATTTGCAAAGCCTAGAGTCCTTGTTCATTATTCCAGGGATAGAGGTTGAGCAAACAGAACCACAAATGAGTTTAGTTGAAAGCCTGGAATATGTAAGAAGAGAAATCAATAAAGCTGTTGATGACTTTACTACTTGGAAAACACATCTGCTCACTTCAGGCAGCCATGGAGGTGAGAATTATTCAGTAAGGAAGAAGTGAAAATTCAACATAGAATGATGTCTTATAGATTTAAGTCTGGGTTATGTTTTGTTCTAAATATATCTGTCTGGGGACTTAAGATAGGAAGTATGGTTAGAATCGGCTCTCAATCTTTTTTGTCTCGCTGTTTGAATGCCTTGTCTTTAGGTGGTATCCTGTTGCATGCTTTGATGCACACAGGTAGAAAGGCAGCACATGCTGACCGTCACAGTTCTCTCTAAGGTTGAAAAGCTTTCAAGTAAAGTTGGTGTTTAAACTCACCATCTTAACTGCTACTTTCATATTTTTACCATTTTTGGCCAAATCATTTTAATATCAGATGATAAATTTGTAGGTTTGTCTAGGCAAGGAATGTGTCTTGCTGTAAACCTTGCATCCAGCACAGCTTGACATGATGGTGGTACACCAAATAGAAAGTGCTCAAAATGGCCATTTGTTAAATAATAAAAGTATTGTTGATGATTTTCAGATGTATCAAAGCTAGTGATTGGTGGTTTTTGTTTTGCATTGTGCTACTTACTAGGACACCCAGTGTTGGATGAAAGCTTCACTGAAGATTTTGCAGAACAAATGGAAACTGCCATCCGGGCCATCCTTTGTGCCATCCAGAACTTAGCAGAAAAAAACAGTGAAAACGCAGAGGAAAGTCTTGACCAAAAAAGACCACAGGAAGAGGATGGTATGTCTGAAGTTAGGCGAAAATTAGTTTTTATAATTGGTTCAGTTTTTGTATTTAATGTAATTCTATATGGCTAAATAGTTAAGAATAAATATTAGAAATAGATAACTGTCTATGAATAAAGATAAAAGCATTTACTTTTCTGTTGTTTGCCATGTTATTTTCTCTGAACGAAAGAGGGAGCAAGCTTTGAGAGACTACACCCAGGACATCTAACAAAACTCTTAGAAGATGACTTCTGGGCCAGTGTGAGCACTTTACATGTACAGAAAATAATTTCTGCCACCTCTGAGCTATTGGAGAGGCTAAAATCATACAGTGAGGATGGAACCACATCAAAGCACACGGTAACCAGCTTCTTTACATACTTCTTGCTCTTCAGAATGGGCTGAGCAAAGGAAAAGTGGAGGGAGGCTCAAAGCAGGACTCAGTGCCAAAACCACTAAGAATTTGGTATAATTTTAAATGTAAATATCATTGACAAGCTTTGATAACAACTTAGGGTTTGCTTGCTAAGGGCTACAATTGTGAGATGCATAGGTACAGAAATTAACAATCAAGAATATTAAGGTTCTTTCATATCCAAATCATGTACTCCCAGTTATCTGTTGCTAATGGTGGATATTTCCACCATCAGTGAGATTTAACAGCCATCTTTTGCAAACACCATTCCCTTCACAAAAAGCCAGCAGAGAAGTTGTCGTCTGTGTAATGTCTAGAGAAGCAGCTTATATTTTAGGACATTGTAAGTCATTTTGCAGTATTGCCTCTAGTGTCAAATTTGATTTCATTGTAGAATTTATTTATAAAAATTTATTTTTAAAAAACTTTTAAGTAAATGACATTGCAGTAACTGAGAATTTGAAGGATACTTTTTGAGAGTTTATGTGAACAAGGAAGAAATTTCAGTGAGCTGTGAATGGGAGGTATGCAAACATGTGTGACTCACCAGCAGTGACATGTAGCACCTTCACAAAGCCATAAAACCATTGTTCCTATCTAGATCTAGAAAGTTTTTATCTTCCCAAAGGAATAGCAGCGTAAGCAGGCCTTTTGGTTTCTCTTTGTCACCAGGTCTTCAACCAGGCCTGTGGCTTGTTGGTGCGCCTAGTGCCCATGCTATACAGCTTCTCAGACCTTGTGCTCTTCTTCTTGACCATGTCTCTGGCAACTCACCGGAGTACTGCGAAACTGCTCTCTGTGCTTGCCCAGATCTTTACAGAGCTTGCCCAGAAGGTAAGGACTATTCACATGGAACACCATGGGATCCAAATATTCTGTATCCTTCAGAGTGTTTGGTTTGATAGGCTTTTATTTTGAACCAACACAAATAGCAGGAGCTGATTTACTCTTCCTGCAGAGTGTAGGCCTTTGTCTGGCACCTGTTTATTAAACCTGTTTCCACTAAGATCTTGGAACTTACAAACCTCCACTGATGAAGTCCCTCAACTCCACGGGTTATCTAAAACCTGCTGCTGTCTATTAACACAGCCTTCCCTCCTGGGCCCCAATTTGAAGCCTTCAGGCAACTCTTAACCTACAACACCTGTGGGATGAATCCTTAAGACTATTAGGTTTGCTTTAGACTAGATAGATGATAAAGGGGCTCTTGGTATTAGGAGGAGGGTTTTTTCCTTTTTATAAGGAAGTACCTCATTTACTCAACTACATAGCCATGACTATGAAGAGCACCAATGTTGTGGAGATTATAGATTCGCCTTTCAAATTCATGGGCAGAAGACGGTGAAATCCAATAGACACAGCATTGCTATAGAAGGTGTAGTTATGAATGTTCAGTCTGGGGACTCTTAAGTTTGTCAC